CATCCACTGCCATGTCAGTGCAGGTCATACATTTTGTCCATCACTAGGGCTCATTCGTTCGGGTTGCACCGCCACTCAGGAGACTGCTACTCCGCCCGAGGATGAGTCAGCCAAGCTGGAAGCGGAGGTTGAGGATCCCTGTGAGAAGGGGCCTGCAGTGTGATCGCACAGAATGTTATGGCGCCTTATGTCATCAGGCACCATAAGCAATTCCTCAAAAAGAAACTTAAACAAACCTAAACAAGTCCATTTTGGGAGTAGCAACCTGACACCAAGTAAAGCTATATAAAGCTGTAAAGATGTTCCATCATTTTCCCCATGCAGTTGTTTTTGGAAACGTATTTTTGTTTTGGTCGCAGTATATACACCGTGGAAAACTAACGTGTTCAAAAAAAAATATTTAAATATTTATTTGTTTGAACACGTTTAAATAGCTGCAGAAACGATTTGGAGGGTCTATACCAGCTGCCATGTTAATGAGATCTGGAGGAAAAAAACTGAAAAGCAGGCACCCAGGATCCAACTTGCGCTAGACCCTGTTGAACCAGGGACTTCCCCAGAAATAACAGGACCACCGTCTCATTTTTGTGCAAGAACAAACAAACAAAGCACTTTTCAGATTTTGCAAAAACGCTAACGTGGCACCTGTGGAGGCCAAACATGAATCTCTTCTCAGGTTCCATGTTAACAAACATGAACGGTGAGCATACCCACGTTTAAATAGCACTTTTTGGATTTTGAGTGCTATGTTAGTTTTCCGGGGAGTAATTATCTTTAATTATCTGCCTATATACTGAAACTTGTTTGTTTACCAAATCTTTATTGTGCGTTTGCTGATGCAGCGGGTCCGGTGCACATGATGAATTTTCATTGCTGTCTCATTAGGATTTGATCATTTCCTAGTCATTATTGATGGCTTTCCATTTTCCATAGGATTTTGCAAGGCATCGTGAAAGAACGCCAACACAAGTCGGTGGTTTCATGTTTATTTCCCTAAGGGTACCGCAATATCAACCCCCCTGTCATCTCCATCTCAGAAGCATCGAACTCCCCAATACTAATCCCCTCTCATCTTGATTCCCAGAAAGTCTCGCTCCCCACTTCCCAATGCTACAGTAATCCTTTTGTATCTTCATTTCAGGAAACGTTTCTCCACAATACCAATCCCCTTTCATTTCCCTGTCAGGAAACCTACCCTCCCCCTGTATTCGCTAATTTTTAGAGGGTGGTTTAAGTTTACAGTATAGGTATATATATAATATATACATGTATTGAGGCGCCACATTTACTGATGTGGACACTAAACAAACTTGACAACATGCACACCAACTACATTAACATGCATGTCCAATTGGTGCTTCTGTTCGTACCCGTGCTTCACCTTCTTTTAGTTGCCTACTCCTCCCACGCCCGTACAAAAACTATAGTGAAGGCCTTTGAGTAGAAATGAAATATGGCAACCCAGGATCCCCTTCAAGTACCAACCCATTGGTGACCAAGTGGGCCAAAGGCCAAAGGTGCTTGGGAAGGAACATTTTCTGTTAGGAGGCATTCGTTGTGGCAAACCGTTGTGCTTCTTCCTCCCAGCAAATGATTCTGAACCTGGCTGAGGAGACTCAAGATCTTTGGGAGGATGGCTGGACACGCTGCTCATCAGCATTCACTTCCTTTGGACGGCTTCCTTGAGGGGAGTGAGCAGCCCCTGTTGGTGGCCATCATTAGTGTCAGAGGAGTTTGCAACCCCCCGAGACACATCATTTGACCGTTTGACCCCATGAATGCATTGAAATGCTACCACATCCATCCACATCCCCTAGACCAAGCATGACCAAGCAGTGGGATGCTCAAAACATCTCAAAACCATCTACGCCTAGCAGATGGTCCTGTTTGCCAATTCAAGCCTTTCCCTGTACTGTAGATATCAGTCACTGCCAGTCACCGATGACTTCAGCAGTCTTGGAGACCTGAACCGTCATTGATTCCAAGGATATCGTGTCGAGGAGGGCAGCGAGGAGTTCTGGTCTTCAAACTCAGAGATTTGCACTGCTGGCCAGCATCACAAACAGCGCTTTGAGCTTGAAGACAAGCTAGCTACTAGTGATGCATCCTGTAAGAGCTGCGGGAACAGCTGCTTAACCGCTGTCAGCCATCCGCAAAGACCTACTGCACCAAGATATTATACACACACATATATATATATACATTTTTTGCGGGTTCCAGGATTCTGCGGATATATGGATTATTGCGGATACAATATATATATATATAATATAGCATAAAGCTCAGCAATACCCATTGTGTCTCACATGTTCACTTGTGCACTTCAGGTGGTGGCGTGAGCAGACCGAGGAGTACTTTCTTGAAAGCGAGTCGGGCTGATCCCTCAGCCAGCTGATCCCCAGCCGTTCAGTCATGTTCATCCTTCAGAAAGCTTAAGCTCAGTAGTTTGCTAGTATGTGTGGATTAGATAGTCGTCAGCCATCAATTCTTGGCTGGAAACGTTTAGTTCATGGACTGTCAACAAGTTGTGAGGAATTTGTGGCTTTTCTTAATCAACTCAACTTCCGCGGTGTTTCCAGTGTGCTTTTGCTCCAGTGGCCTTCATTTGCACTTCTTTGAGTTGGTGCATCTTCTCTTCCTGATTGAGATGCTCCAACACCTCGATGTTCGAAACGCACATAAGCTCGCGTTTTGATAACACTCCCTCACAGTTACAGCGTTGTCCTACAAGACAGTTTGTTTTTGGGTTCTGGCATGCCAAATTTGTGGTAGTGAGTCAGGTGAGGCACCAAAAAGAAACTCCGTGTTTCGGCGTCCAACCGGCATTCTTCCCGTCCATGGATGATTTTTTGGGTTTTCCCGTACATGTCCCTCACTGTCGACTCCCTTCCGGGTCCCCTGCCCAGATGACTGGTCCAAATTCCGGGACCAGAAGAGCAACAAGGAGTACTGGTGGCACAAGAGTGGGTCCAGGCACTGTCCGTGAGGTTGCTTAGAGGGTTTCCGGACTGAGTTTTTTTCCACCACGGCGGCCTTGCCAGAGTGTAGAGTGGAAGCCCACAAAGCTACAGCATGAAAGATCCAATCCTTGTTTTTCCCTGGATCCCAGGTGCATCCTGAAACACTTAATAACAGAGTTCTTCCAGGGCAAGCAGCCTGCGGGGCACTGTACCAGAACAGAAATACAGGTCATTCCGCGCTGCTCAGTAGGGAATGAGGGAACGGGCCCCCAATAGAGATTGGTCTGATTTGTTTGAACCGTGTCCTCAATCCATCTACTGTAACTAATATCTACCACGCATCCGCCTCCGTCAGTTTTGGAACCCTCTACCCATCCGCAGGTGCTTTTGGGCCTCAGAGACTTGAGCGGCGTGGCCGGCGCCCGCCGCGAGGAGGGAGCGTGCGTGTGCGAGGAGACCCAGGGAGCGTGCTCCATGGAGTGACTTTGAAAGAGGTGGACCAAGCAGTGAATCCATGACATCCATGCGATCCCCCAAGATAGAACGTTTGAATGTGAACGGGATTTCACACACGTCACGTCACACGCACACACACATTTGTGTATATACATATATATATATATATCTTATAGTCAAGGGCACTGCTTCGACGCACGGGCTTCAATCGGCTCATTTGAAAAACAATAGGGGTCCCGGAGACAAAGTTTGTGAGTCTTGAAGTGGATATGTTCTATTTTGATTCGGATTGGTGTAAGTTTACATTTGCATGCAGAAACATGCTGAGAATTACCGAATGGCTCCCTCCAGTTTGCAGTGGAAATGTTGTAATCAATCACGCTCAGGCTGATTGACAACATATGACGTTTGCAGAGAGGGCCGTGAGCCCTCTTTGGTTGCCGCGCCAGAAGTAAATTGCGCAAATTGTCAATGGTCAGATTGTGCTTCCACCAACAGTGGTATAGTGAGTTGTAACTAATACTCTGGTGAAAACAGCTTGTCATTGTTTGCCACCCCGCTGGCTGATGATGACGGGGCCATACCAATCTCAAGCTGGTCTTCATCCTGACCGCATGCTCGAGCAGAAGCGTATTTCCAGCATTGCCAACAGTTGTGGTACACATCATGCAATTTGGGTTTCAGTCCCAGCCTGCGTGAGAGGCAGTAACTCCCTGGTCATGATGCTGTGGTGTGGTGGCATAGCAGGCCTTTCCATCAGTGGAGGCCTCGAATTGAAACTAGAGGTATGCCGCGGTTCCTCCCAGCCAGCTTGCACAGCGATTTTCTGGTCATTGTGCATGTATATGCATGCACAGGCCCGCCAAGAAGTTATGGCCCATGCACTCTGAGTTGCCTGGCAGATGCGTGAACAAGCTGAGTCTTCTTCAATATGGTCCATTTTCACAGGCAATGTAATTACACACTACACTTCCTATATGTCATTATACGTCCAAGATCGTCCAAGTCAGTCTGAACAGGAGGTGCAACAATATGACAATGTGCATGCTGCATACTGTGTTTGGGGTTTGCTTGGAAAATCAGAGTCATCAAGGGCTTCTAGGTGTGCAGGCTGGTGACACGGCGAAGTTGCGGCATGGCGCTGTTTTGCAAAAGACACAGACCTGGGAGGAGGATGGGGAGGCAGACCTGAGCACGGCATGGACCCCCCTTTAATCAAATCAAAATCAAGTTGCTAGGATCAGTGCTAGGATATCTATATATATATGTGGTTGCACAATTTCTGCAAGGAGATTCAACAAGATTCAAGGCATTGTTACATGGTTGAATGCTGTGATGACTACCCATAATCCTTTTGGATCCATTTGCTATGCTAAGGGCTGCTATGCATGCTGGGTTCCCGTAATCGCTGGGCTTCAGGCTGTAGTGTCAATATATTGAGGTCATTAGGAGAAACAGATTGACTCTTTTTTGGTTAATTGTTACATTGTTTGCTGATTTCAGAATTTCAGGCTGTTTGTCAGAGCTGCGGAACCGAGTCTAGGGGCGGAATTGGACAGATCTTCACCACTTGCGACATTGGAATGAAGCACGGCCCCCCAACCAGCTTCACCAAAGCGCTGATGGCAAGTGGCTGTCGTCTATGACGCGGCTTTGGTGCGTTGATGGAGCGAACCCATTCGGCAAAGGGCAGCAGGCTCGAAGACCAATTGTATGCGAAATCGGTTGCACTAGTTTCAGTTGAAACTTTGTGAGTCCTCAGTCCTCAAGTCGACCTCAAGCCCTCATCGTGTCGCTCAGGTGTCAGTACTTCAGTGCAGCTTTGGGATTTTCAGGGACGTTGGGTTTGAGCCCCTATGTGTTCAAAGCATTTAGAACCATTTATATAGCCAACCATTTGATTGGTGCTCCCTAGGGGAAAAATGGGGGGGGATGACCCTGCACTATAGACACCTTGTTGTGTCATTCATCAATCAGCCATCTTGTTTGCTTGCCTCAGGCATGACCTCTCCCCGGGGTGCGTCGCCCCGGAGTCCGCGCGGATCAAGCCCAGCACAAAGTCCACGCGACAGCCCACGTGGCGACAGCCCACGCGGCGACAGTCCACGTGGTGCCAGTCCACGAGGCATGCGATGTGGTCGGTGTGAACTTGCACTTGACAGATGTTCTATGCGAAAACCAAATAATTTGGCGAGGTTTGCCCAGTTTGCCCTTTTTTTGTGATCGCATGGTGTGTGTGTGTGTGTCAAGCCCTGTCTCTAAGGGTCCTCCCCCTCCGTTTTGGTTTTTCTCCAACAGGGGGACCAGGCATCTTGCTGCTGACCTGGTCTAACAAAGCTAGGCAGCGAGATGGGAAGCACTGAGAGACGTCTCAGTGTGTACCTGCTTCAACTTATGATCACGCTGTGACTCCAATCTTTCCTTGTTTGTTTCCATGGTTCTTGCATGATAGACCCCTTCCCACCGCAGACTTGCAGCAGACTTGCAGCCGCGCTGAGTGTTCGAGTGTTTTCGAGTGCAAATGAAAACAAGGTTAAACCATACTGTTCTCGCTGACCTTTTCACCTTGCGGTTCTCCACCTTCCTTCCACCTGGGAACTGAGTTAACTGAAAACCAATGTCAGAGTGTGAACCGCTCAGTCGTCCCATTTGGGTGCTGGGTGTGATCCCCGTCACTGGGGCGCTGAATTCATGCCGGTAATCGTGTCACAGATTTCTCCCCTTCCACCTTTCCTTGGGTTTTCTTAACAGACTTGGTTTCACTACTGAATTAACTGCTTCTACGCCGCCGGGCTTCACGGTACAACCTTCAACTTGAGCTGATTGCAAGTGTTTGGGATCGACTTACTGCCTTCAAGTTCCATCTTTGCAGCTTGCCATCATGCAAGCAAGTACGCATCATGCACTCCACGAGGGTCCAATTTTGCTCAGATCAACCAAGTTTCACACCTTGTTCAATTTTCAGGAGCGGCCGACGAACTAGTGAGACTCTATGTCCTAAAGGGACACAACGCCACAGAGTGCTAGCGTTTTCTGCGGAAAATCAAAGCCATCGAGGGAACCTGAACACACATATGCGCCGAAAAAACGGCCATGTGTGTGTCAAACCCTGTCTCTAAGGGTCCTCCCCTGGTATCTTGCTGCTGACCTGGTCTAACAAAGCTAGGCAGCGAGATGGGAAGCACTGAGAGACGTCTCAGTGTGTACCTGCTTCAACTTTTGATCACGCTGTGATTCCAATCTTTCCTTGTTTGTTTCCATATGTTTCCATGGTTCTTGCATGATAGACCCCTAAACCTTTTCCCACCGCAGACTTGCAGCCGCGCTGAGTGTTCGGGTGTTTTCGAGTGCAAATGAAAACAAGGTTAAACCATATTGTTCTCGCTGACCTTTTCACCTTGCGGTTCTCCACCTTCCTGCCACCTGGGAACTGAGTCAACTGAAACCAATGTCAAAGTGTGCTTTTCTTTGAACATGGGGGCATGGGGGGCCTTTCCTACAAAAGGGGCTTTCATGTACTAGCCCGTTGTCGGTCAAGAAGGAATTTTGAGAGTTGCATTGGTGAAGGGAGTTGTGATGAAACGACCCCCCGCTTGAACCACTGTCATCTAAGAATCTAATCCATGAACAACCTTTGGTGCGACTGCCCTGTTGACCATTTTTGCGAAGGATGTTGTCCCAGCAACAGAGCTCTCGCCACTCCCACTTACTGCTCCATGCTTGGCGAACCCCCTCTCTCCGGATTCATGATGGAGAACAAAACAGGACAAAGAGACATCCCAAGATATTACAAGGTTTGTCAAATACTTGACGGTCAAAATCTCGGATGTGTGATCCATCGATGGATGACCATAGATTTGTCATCCGTCAACTTGAAGGAATACTTAAAGTTTGTTTTGATCATGTCATTTTTTCAAGATTACCTTCAAGTCTTTAGACATCAGACCCAGATCCCCAGGCCGGCGGCAGTCGGCTCGAGGGCGGAACTCCGTGCACGAGGCGGTCGATGGAAGTTTGTCGGATGAGTGGGTGGGTGGAATATGTTTTCACCTAATTAATAGTTACTATGTTGTAAGTTGGCAGGACTTGTTCCTCCAGCTCTCTCGCTGCTACCATTTCAGCAGCGTTAGCAGTGCGTGAGATGCAGGAGGTTCAACCTGTTGGCACATAAGACACGGTATGACACGGTGAAGGGGAAGAAGGCCTATAGTAGCAAGCGTTTGACATGGACGCTGCATACTGCATACCACACGCCGACTAAACCCGCCCAAGCAACCATTTTGTTGCTGTGTGGCATTGGCTTGTAGAGGATTCTGGCTAGGATGATGATCATGTGGAGAAGTTGATTAGCATCAGTCTGTCCTTTTCTAACTGGCTCTACCGAAGGGGGAACAAGATAGAGCCTTTGATCTTGGCAAATGTCTAGACGAAGCATCACGCAAGGCCACTGGAAATTCGTGGCATGTCAGGTTACATTTTAGTTACACCCAGGATTCTCACTGGCATCATGCTGGTGAAACCTGGTGGATTCTCACTTCTTGCATTTGGACTGCCGAACAGTCCACCCGCTGAACCCCCGCTTCCGCTCCAGGACTCCCCACGCTGGGCGAACCGTCCACGAAGGCGGCCGTGCGCGGGCCGCAGCAACTCTTCCCTGCTGGCCGATGTGGCGACTCCTTTGCGTTTGGATGTCGGCATGTGACAGTCTCACCCACTCAGTGTATTAAACAAATACACGCTTGACATCGCTTGACATGAGGGATCATGAGGGAACAAAAGACATCAAAAGACTAGACCTTTCTGTTTCTGACCAAATGAGGCAATTTTAATGTTCAATCAACGACCTGCCAGGATGCCGTTTTCGATTAGTCACTTCCACTGAGAAACATCCCGAAATGCACAACAGCCTGGATTGCTTCTTCTTGACAATGCCACCTAGCATCAGCTACTGTAGCATACTCCATGGTGTCAGGTGGTGAAGAACGATGAGATTGAGGCACTCAAGGAGTCCCTGCAGCGTGGCGGCGGCGTGGTGGCGCGGAAGACAGTCGGGGAGACGCTCGACCCGGTTTTGGGGGAGGTCCATGGGAGAGTGGCGACAGGGGGGCCGTGTTGGTGTGGCGACAGGGAACGAAATCATGAAGGTCCCGAAAGGTTCCTAAACGTACACCGAAAAGGTTCCTAAGCGTACACCGAACGCCTTTAACGAGTCTGTGTGATCTTACATGCGCAATGTTCGTTCTACGTAATGTTCTCCCGAGCTCTCCCATTTGCAGCAGACAATGGTCAAGGGGAATTGAGGCGTGGGAATTTAGGCCCACTCAGGCAAGTTCCATGTGCAAATTCATTTGTTTACACAATGTGCTGGACAGAAGGACCCACTGGCAGATGGGAATGACAGTGCTTCCCATACGATGAGCCAATGAGTCCTTGAAACGTATCATATACGCTTGTATGATTGGCATCCGGCATCCATTGTGAACTAGGAATGGTTCATATACTGTAGTACTTTCTAATGCAACATCGCATCATAAATTACATGCAGGCTGATGTGCAACTTAAATAGGAATTTGGACTTTTGGATTTTGGATGATCAAATGTCCGTGCTTGACTGTATTTGGCCACTTGATCGAACAACTAGGAATGCACACAGCGCCGAGGTTCTTGAAGGGTTTCCGCTTGGCTGCCCCTTGGCACTTGACAAAATGCTTTTAGGCCTGCCACTTAACTATCGCCGGCCTTTTGAGAGGGACGGTCGTTATGGTCGCTTTGTCATCCTCCATTGGCACTGAATCTTAGGGTGATTCTTGGACGGTGGCAGACTGTATCGTGGGCCACATGATTGTTGCAACGTTGAAACTATATGCTTGCAGGTTTTTTAAAAGTCCCATCGGGCAAGTCGCTGGGCAGCAACCATCTCCGCATTCCAGCACCTTCACAAGCGGTTGCTCAAGACGCTTGAGGTCCTTCCCTCCGTGCTTTACTAGACTAGACAATTGTTCAAATTCAAATTCAATATAGCTTTTTACTATGTTACTATGCTTTACTTGGGCCATCTTGGGCCGCCCATGGGAAAGACTTCTGCCCGTCTGCCCCAACCACCATGCGTCCTTTGTTTTGCCTCCTCCACGGGGGGCATGCAATGAGACGAGAATGAGGCGGGACAGGATCTGAAGCTCGAAGCCTTTGACATCACAGGCCTAAAGGCCGGTACAGTCCATGAGTGACGTGGAGCATGCAAGGGATGTAGTGCACAAGGACCAGACCACAACACCGTGAAGTGCACAAAGGACTCTTTGGAGAAGGAATCGCCTTTTTCTATTTTCCAGGAGTCCATACTTTTGATAATTGGAGGGGCATTAAGTCCTTCACCTTCTATTCCCCATTTTCTCCCTGCCATGGCCTCCAGGCACAGAACATGTCTCGTCATGATCATCCAGCAAAATTCTCCGTCAGCCGCAGAGTTGGTGTGATTTTTAGGATCATGTTTCGAAGCCCATACCCCATCATACCAAATCCATCCAAATCCACCGGTCCTTTCGGGGGGGGAACACCGACCTCTCTTTTTTTTGGCCTCTCCGACGCGAAAGCACCGAACGGACGCATTGAGGACGGTCCTCGCAGGACGGTTTCTTTACGCTTCATGTTCCTAGTAGCGATGCACTTGTTACTAATAGCTTCTTAAGTTACTACTAGCTTCTTGTTCTGACCAGGACGGTGAGGAGGTGGATCCCCGCTTGGCCTCCGTGGTGCAGGACTCGCTCGCAGGGAGTCGCTTGGTGTGGCGGGAGCGCGGGCGAGGGCGTCCGTGCTATGTGGGCCGGGTGGTCTCAAGCCTGGGTTGTGACATGTGAAGAGCACAGCAGCAAGATCCGAAAGATTCTCGGTGTTAGCTTGCGGACGGTTGGTCTAAAAAGGGTTTAATTACTGTAGACTGTAGGTGTATGATATATGAGCCTTAAGGTGAAAGATGGCAAAACAGATTGGTGGAGAAGCTGCCAGGTGATGAGCAAAACAGACAGTTCCTGGGTGTATTGGTGTAACTATTAATACAGATGGAGGCAATGGGGCCGGGTGTGTTGACATTTTGAAAAGCCCAACGCGAAAAGCCTTTTATGGAGCTCAGCAAGTCGCATGGTGCTGACAAGGTCGTGAAGATGATCGGGACATCCGCTTGTACGCTCGACCTCCGTGCTTCGGATGCATTGGAATTTACTTCCAGTCCAGTGGCACCTTGAACATGGCACGCATGAAGATGTCGCTGGAAATTGTTTGCCTACTTAACTTGCCATGTAACTAAACCCTCAGTTCAGAGGCAGGATGCTTGTCAAGGATTTAAACATGTACAAGTAACGGCGAACAACAAAATGTTTGTGCAACAGGTCAAAACGAGTTGATAGAACATGATACATGATTCTGACGTGTACGTGCTGAACAAGCATGATGAACCAATTTTGCCTTCCCTTTTGAGTATTTGTGACGCTAGGGTCCACCGTACCAACTTTCTACAGTTCTTTTTTGGGCGGATGGCGATGACCAATGGAGAACCGCCCGTCCGTGTGAAAGATAAGATCGGTCAAAACGCAGCCAGTGTGACGGCACTGACCCGAGACATGGCGCAGGTACATACATACATACATACATGCATACATACATACATGCATCCATTAATACATTGCATACATTACATAGATACAGTATGTATAATAGTCATTATCCATTTGCCCCACTTGCCGCGGCAATGCCGGGAATACAATATATTTTAATCGGTGTAATTTGATATCATTATATAGATAAAGGATGATAAAGGTGCAAAGGAGCACAATAGGATCTAATTGTCGCCTCAATAGATCACTAGAGGATCTAATTGATCAAGACCCCATCAACTCACTCCTCCGAGGTGGTATGAGCCAGAGGATGCAGTGCCTTTGAGCAGATGCCAGCAGGATCAGAGCTGCGGAGACCGTTTCCGAAGTCTGAGAGTTCAAGAACAAAAGCATTTTCTTGAGTTTGATGGAAGAAATCCTGAAAGCCATTGGGGCCAAGAGGAAGAGCACCGAATTTCCAGTGTGGGCATCATCGGATGTTGTCTTCCAAGAATAGGTTCTGAATGGTTCTGATTTGTAGCAAAATGGAATGACGACCAACCCAGATGTCCTACTTCAGACCACGTCGGTAATGCTGGAGCACATGTGTTGAACCAGCACTCTGCTGACCATCATCACCTTATATAGGCTATATATATATATAGTTATTGTCGCATGCTTTTCAAAGTCAATCAAAAGGTGGCCACCTAGCAGGATCAAGCGGCACCTGAATTGGCCCACATAGTCATGGAAATGCCATGAAATGGTCAAGGTACATCGCCAGTCCCTTATCCTGTACCATCCTGCAACCCACAGCACCTGGCTCAACGAAGCTGAGGGTCTTAGCCTTTTCTCGTTCCTTATGACCAGAGGGTACTGATGATATGAGTTACCATTTTTAATGGGGAGAGGTCAACCAGATTCTATCCTCATCCACCTGGGATGCAGAAGCTGCCTGTTGCAGTTCTGGAGCCGCTGGCTGCCCTGCCTCCGCAAGCCCAAGCGCTGGCGCCGGAAGCGACACCTGGGGGAAGGTCTTTTTGGCTGTTATGTGCGAGCCCCTTGGAGGGCAGAAGGTAGGTGAAGTGGGGAAGGGGCATTGTTGTAGGCAGTATCGACGACCTGTCATATTATGGCGGCAGTATCTACAGCAGCATGGTGGAAGATTTGCACTTTGGAAATGGTAACCCTCACTGCTTTTGCACTGTACTGTATGAGCTCATAAGACCCCTTTGAAACCTGCTTATCATGCAGGGTCCATTGCTCAAGTTGGAATTCAGAGTCCTGCAGTCTCGGTGGTTCACATTAGCATGCCGCTGAGGCTCATCCATCCTAAGCACTCAAGCTCAAGGTGCGAATGAACAACAGTTCTTTGTGGCACAGGGTTCCATAGGCCGCTGCCACCCAAGTCCAAAGAGCAAATGGAGGTTGCGTTTGACGTAGCCAGGATAGTGGCGGTCTGGGTTCGCTAAGATTCCTCCTGATGTTTCGAACAGATGGTTTCAAAAGTTGATCCTGTGTGTATATTACATATACGCTTGCGTAGGGGGGTCGGTAAATGTGCTGTCCCGGTTGACCCGGTTCAACCCAGAGTGTGGTAGTGGTAGCGGTAGCGGTAGTGGTGGTGCAGCAGCAGCAGCAGCAGCAGTAGTAGTAGTAGTAGTAGTTGTTGTTGTTGTTGTCGTAGCAGTAGCAGCAGTGGTAGTAGTAGCGGTGGCGGTGGTGGGCGGGCTTTTGATTGTAAGCGGTGTAAGTAACCGTCTCTTTCCGATCCCACTTGACCCGGTTGAGCTCAGTTGATCCGGTTGGACCCACTTGATCCAGTTGACCTGATTGACTTTGGTAGTGGTAGTGGCAGTAGGAGTAATCATAGTAGTAGCAGTAGTAGCAGCAGGTGGTGGTGGTGGTTCGTCGGGGTCAACTGGGTCAACCGAGAATTGTGCTTCTTGAGCTAGGTCGGCTATCAGCTCAGGTTCAACAAGCCTTGCTCCGCTTGGTCTATCGGAAGAGCTCTGCCGCCAAGCAGCGCGACATTTTTGTGCCACTTGTCCCAGTTACTTCACATTGGAGGGACATAAGGTTCCCCTTTTCTTGCAAGAAGTCACCTGGGTGAACTGGTCGTCAATACATTTTATTGTTGCCTTTTGGTGCTGTTTGTTTTTTTTTCTTTGGAGGGGCTTAGGCACAAGCCTGGTATTGTCATGTATTGTCAGAATTGCGCGTCTGAGGGCATTCAGGGTGCTCGCCGAAAGCGGGGAGAGTTCAGAGGTGTTTGGTGGGATAAGATTGGACCGAGCACGCCTGCAAAGGTTGCGGTTGTCTAAGATTTTTAAGCATACGCCACCCGCAAAGTCATGTGCCGCTATGCGAATCAATCAAGGAGATTTAAGGTAACAAATGAAAAAGGGGTATGGTCCAAAGAATCAAGTGGGAGAGAAGACGTCTTGAGTACATCGGATTGTACCTGTCGTACGGTATTTTCGGGTAGGGTCACAACCTTCAGTCGTACTGTTGGTCACAACCACCAATTTAAAGGACAACTGTTGTGTCTTTCCAGCGAGCGAGTTGGTCCCCTTGAGATTTGAAAGTGGCAGGGCCTTCGGGAAAGTTGGGCCTGGGATTTGACGCAGTGCAGGCCTTTGCTCAAGGCTGTTTGTGAGCGAGTCGCCCACAGTGGGTCCCTTGAAGAGAGATACAGTGTACAGTCTAGACTTGTTTGATGTTGTTTGATGTACAACTTGTTGTGTCATATCATGTCGTTTTTCCTTGGAATGGGCCATTTTCTAAGAGTGTATTGGATTGAATCCGCCCATCTCGCCAAACTCTCGCGTCAAAACTTCGAAACTCAGGAGTTTTCAGGAGGCCGACCGAGATTTGGCGCGGTGGCTGCGTCTCTTTTGCCCCTTGGCAAACAATTGAACAGTCAAGACATGCCGGGGACGATCAGCCCTGTAGAGGTTTGGTTTGCAATAGGCATGGCCTGGTAATGCCTGGTAGATGTTTGGTATTTGGACGTTTGTTCAGGGACTGTTTGCTTGGGCAGACATCGGCGGCGGGGGAGGTGGCTGGCACGGCCAGCTTGCGTCGGCACGGATCCGCCGAGATCAGGCGATATGCGTTCTTTGTCTGCCACTTCAGCTGCAGTGAAGCATGGCCATGTCGCTTTGAACTCCAGGTTCGAAGAGCACCAGAATGGACAGTTGGTTATTGGTGGTTACTTGACGTGGTGACACTTCCAGGATAGCAAAGAACACTGCTAAGATGTGCTAAATCATGCTCATTGGGTGGACCACCGTTATGCTGACCTTCGTTGGGATTCTTGAGATGTTCGTCGTTCAACGTGATCAGTTTGTTGGACAGCGGATCACCGAACTTTGCCGGCGCACGGCGCACGGGTGGTCAATGATAAGGCGTATGCGCAATTGCCCAATGAAGCTGTCACTCGTCTGAAGTTGTTTGCTGCTAATGGCTTCTTGCCATGTCGCAAGTCGTTTGCCCGGCAGCTGGTGTCATTAATCAATGGTTTGCGCCACCTCCAGTTTAGAGAAGATCAGGAGGCCTGATGAGGCAATATCTCAAGGTCAAGGACCAACACACATCTCAACCTTGATGGAACATCCCTGTACCGTCACATTTGACGGTTTGCAGGGGGCTTTAGGGCCTTGGCACCTGGGCACAACCTTGTTTAGGCTCGGAAGTCTTTGGAGAAGAAGCCACAGGAACCGCAGGAGCCACAGGATGCTTGGCTGGTATGTTCCACGTGTGAAGCTGGGAGAGGTGTTCCCCTGTCAAGCCCCTGTTTCACAGCAATGCGGCAGAGGAGTCCTTGCTTGTGAAACGTTTTGTTGGGACCAGTGCTCTGCCGTAACGAAGATCATCAAGGATAGACCGCTTTGTTATGTTGTTCAGCCTCAACTCCAGGAACGTCAGCGTGGTTGTGATTACTGTACATGATGTGCTTTTGTCTAAATGTGCATATCAATAATCATATCAGATACAACCTCGATATTTTTTTCTTCCAGTGAAGACACAACTGTATATGCTGAGCATTTCTGAGCATATGATAGATGCAATCTCGCAAGGTCTGTGTCACGTGTGTACCAAGCCAAAAAGATTGGAATGAATTGGCCGTGTTGAAAGAACTTCACCATTGGCCACATTTGGCCAAAGAAACACCTAAATCCTCGCACCCTCTCTTTGTCATGTTCGGGGATCAAGCAAAGACACTCCAGGACATAATCATGTGGAAAATGGCCCCATTGGATGACATTGACCATATTCCTCTACAAACACGCGTATCTCGCCACTTCCATGTCTTCTTTTCCACAGTAGTGTAGATCTCCCAGTTATTCATAAAACTCGAAATAAATGACCCCAAACTATGTTAATTTTCTTCTGGACCCTGATTTTCAGCTGCTTCCAAACCTTGACTCATCCAAGTTGATCCAAGAGCGATGGCCTCCACCCTAGTAGCGGTGGCCATTCAAACCATCCGCGCCCAGAACTCCCGGAGCTCGCTCCGCGGATCGATCCGCGGATCGATGCGCGGCTCCATCCGCGGCTCCATCCGCGGCTCCATCCGCCGGTCCATTGCGTCGATGAGCAGCGTGGCCTCGCAGCGCACGGGCGTAGCTCGGAGAGGAAGTCGTTGGAGGGGGAGAGGTGAGATATGGTGAGTATATGGTGAGATGGCCTGGAGGAGGCTGGGAGGAAGAAGTGAACACTGAGAGGTTGGAAGAAGGAGGGTCTCATTATAGGAGTCAGACGTCGCCTTTGTGCTTCTTGGTCTAATAAATGTGGTAGACACTAATGGGCACATCGGGACTCCTTGATATTTTGATAGTACGGCAGTACGGTCATTATTAGTTCAAACACCCGAACACAACAACGAAAACAAGTTGAGTTTGTTCCCAGTTTCGCCCAAATACATTGATTGAAAATACGTTCGCAACAGCCTAAGTCTCTGTTCTTCCTGTGATCAGAAGGGCCGCATTCATTGCTCTAAACCTTCGGTCTGACCAGTCCTGCCCTGTTCTCCCGTTCAGGACATGGACACAGGCAGGGAACAGATGGAGGGCAGATCATAGCTACAGCGCAGAGGTTTTCTCGTTTGTCAGCTTCCAGGGTTGCACCATCCGGTGCTCTTTGCCACCTAATTTGTTCTGTGCTTATGAGAAGCATTTTGCATGTCCTACTGTAGTTGACTAGCTTGAGTCCTTTCACTTTGACTTTTGTTGCATCTCACCAACTGCAGTGCTTTGCGGGTGAACATTTAGCTAGAGGTGAAGCTTTTGATCAGTCAGCGGGAGATTGATAGATATAGTCAGACTTGTACCAGAAGAAGGCCAACAAGGTCACTTGATCATGAAAGTTTGGAGCCAAATGCGTTTTGCACAGAGACAGCGGGGGGGCTTCGACTGCAGGATCAACCAACTGACTAACTCGTGGAGCTTTGTGGCGGTGGAAAGTCCCTGACTAACTCGTGCATGAGGTCTCATATACTTTTGTAGACGCAAGCCATGCAAAGCAGCCCGTGAGGTGGACCAGTGGAGGAGACTGCCGTACCTGTGGAAGAGCAAGAGGTCTCTTTGCCTCAGTGACTCGGCGCCTACTGCTCCCTAGGGAAGTCTTACCATTGTAGTCCTTCCAGGCAACAGATGGCCCCTAGAGCGGATGATTTTGTCAACTAATTACCCTGCTTCACACTCCACAGGTGGCTGCAAGATCGCGAGGAGTCGGTGAGTGAACAAGCAGAACTTTGTGGTGGGATGTGGTGGGTAAACGGCCAAGCTGTTTCAACCTTTAGGATTCAGCATGCTCACGTCATGATCATACTAATCACTCAGGGAAGATCAGGTAAACGTGAACTCGTTGTTCTTGAAGTCCTTGCCGAGCCCCTTCCCACGAAAGCACACTGAATCATGCAAGTTTAATCTGGAGGACTTATATAAGACGGCTCTAAAAGCCTTTGGCGGTGGGGTTTCGGCGGTCATTACTGTGACTGCAGGAGCTGATCCGGACTTCACGAGTCTTCCTGGTGATCACCAGTCAGGAGAAGATGGGGCATCTTATACGGGGCACAAAAAAGACATGATCAGCCAATTCAAACCAATCCATTTCTGACTAATTACGAAGTACTCTTTGATGCTTGTGCGTATATGTACAATACTATAATTTTACTGCGATATCGGCACATATGTTACAGTAAATATTACGACATATTTAATGTTATATATAGAGCGCACTGTCCTTCTTGAGGCGCCAACTTTCGTTTCCTGTTGCATGGCCAGGACTCTTTGGAGAATGCTGCGGTTTTGCAGGATTGCATCTGGGCCTTGTGCTCAGCATGTGGGATGGACTGAGCATTCTAACGTTGGGAAGTAGTTCTTTGTGATCTCATTGCTTTACGGACAGCCAAAACCACTGATCGCATCAACCAACTTTGGTCCCAGTGTGACTCGCTGGCTCCTGGGGGTGCACTGGAACTGGGCTTTGACAAAGCCACTCGCAGGTTGGTGATGGTTATTTGCGCGTTACATGGTCATGTCAAGTCTGTCACATCCGCAGCATTCCATTGAGAAAGGTGGGCCTCATTTGCAGCCACACCACTCACCCAGAGCTCAACAAAGATTACGTTTTGTTTGAATTTGAAGGTCCTGAGTCCTGCTGTCACCCAGTTCACTGGGTAACAACCCAGTGGTAGGTGAACTCAGCATGGAGTTACTGGATAAAGTCCTACAACCCAGTTCACTTTGTCCATGTCCATCGTTGTGACCAGTGACCTCCGCTGGACTTGGGAGGATGCCGGAGAGATGTCGGTAGGACAGGAGCATCCTCATTTTTTTGGAGGTACTACTTGTAGCACTTGACTTGGTAAGATGTTGTGAACTTCCCAGATCATCCCAGATCCGTGGTGTTGCAGATGTCCTATTCAACCAATGGCAGCACGGTCCAGGCCTGGCAGTGGGGAGTCCCTGTGCTGCCAGTACGCCGTGTGGGGGTCCGAGGCTTAGTTCTGTCGATGTGGAGGGTCAGGGGGCCATGTGGCCAGCTGCAATCGCAAAAGAAGAGGAGCTGAAAGTAACGACACGACAACCTGGGCGGAGGATGGACACTGGACAGCTGATGCAAGAGCTTCAAAAGGCCTTACAACAGACCAGAGGGAACGTGGCATGATGCCACACGTATTGAATTGATTAACCCTTCATTGCAAAATGACAGCATCAAGTTTTGGTTGGTACCTTCTAGCCCAATACAAGAATCCCAGGTATGGTCCGGTATGGTTGTTTTAACTATCCAGTGGCTGTTGATGCAGATTGTCTCCAGGACAACAAGCTCCCAAAGGAGGTGAAGAAGAAACTTCGTTTCCTCCACACCCTAAAGATGGGTTTGCCAGAGGTGGGCCTCGGCTGCTTGACTGCACAAGGGGACGGACGGAGGAAGTGAATATAGACTTTTGGAAAGAGTATGAAAGAGTCCTGACAGTCTTCGGACCAATGAGATCCAACAATCACAGCCACTACTAGTTGGTCCGACTTGGAGCTCAATCATGAGAGAATTGATAAGCAGATACAATCACTGAATCAGTCCAAGGAACGAACCGGAAGGATTTCTTCTTCAAGGCAGGGCCAGGGCAGATTTTTGAGGAGAGGACACATCGTTCGACCCTTCAGGATCAAAAGCTCTTCCAGTCGAAGGTGGTGCTTTGGCCCCCCGAAAAGAATCCCCGAAAAGGTGTCAGCTTTCTACTTGCAATATGCGCTGCAGCGCTGCAGGTTCCACCAAAATGCGTGTGCCTGCTGAACAGCCGTGAAATTTGATTGAAAAAGTGTACACGTTCTAAGTCAAGGTGGTGCATTTTTGCCCATGCTTCGCACCCTGAGCAGATTGGTGTTCCTAACCGGCCATCATTTGAATGATGATGTTGCATATTTTAAATCCGGTGCTATATTTAACTACAACTAGACTAGACAGATCTAGACGGCACTTATTATACCGCTGCATATGTTACACAGCACAAAGTTTACGACGAGGTTCCAGAACCAAAAGGCCTCTCGTTCTTGGCAGTATCAAGGATATAATACTGATATAATGATGTAATATGATGTAATATATTTATATTTATAATGATATTGGCTAGTATTATACAAAGGCTTAAAAGGTATCCATGGCCTCGCGGAGGGAGGCTGCTTGCGGCGACCAGGTCTCCTCCTCATTGGCTGCCGGCATCCGCATGGGTCGAAGTCGGAAGCGGCCCAAGATGCCACGGCATGTTTGGGATGCTTGGGCTGATGGGAGCGTTTAGCGGATGAGTGGAGTGCTGGAGTCAGACCTGGCAGAGATAGGAGTCCAATGGTTTCCTCATGGCCTCATGGCAGAGATAGCCACTGAATTAGAGAGGGGTCAAGAGAGAGGTTTCGACAGGCGGTCTCCTACAAGAGAACCTACAAGGTCTTCGTGATTCTTTTTGTAATTACCAAGTTGGAAGGGTCAATTGCCCTTCAATTTTTGGTGTGCTAGCCTATGAACATGATGATGGCATTGGGTCAAAGATGAAGTGTTCAACCTGACGAGAAGGAGCCCAATCCATTTATTTGGGTGTTGCTTTGAGGGGTGGAACACATGGATCACGGGGCATGATTTGTGTGCACCTTCCCAGCACCAGGGTGGGTACGCGCTGCTGGGAGGGTCCAGGTTCGAGCCATCGTCAGGGTGGATGCTGCATGAGGCAAATATTTGCAGACTTTCAACTGGAACCTGCACACAACCGCCCGGGGCATATCCCCTACCATAGCGTTTGCGGAGGCTTTTGGAGCACGGTGATGTTGGTGCCAAGCCGTTTGCAGCACACATGTTCGGTGAAACAGTCGTTTTGGGCTCAAGTTGGACGAATCCCAGGGCCGTTTCAGCTGTCCGCATGGACAGGACCCGAAGATGCTTGTTGCAGTGCTGATTTTCATCCTCTCCACGGGGCTGGCCGCTGTTCCTGCACTTTTGGTGTTCGGCTTCATGGTGTGTTGGCTCTATGGCGAGTCACCTGGAATGGGGCTCAAGCAGCAGCGGATGTAGCTCGTTGTTGCTCCGCTCCTCTTCATGTTTGGGGTTCAGGTCATTGGAACCATGTGCGCCTCTTTGGCACTGGTGGCGTTCGCCTTCATGTGGTGCTGGGACGGATGTCATTTCACTAGGAATGATGGACCACAAGGAGTCCAGGATGCAGCTCTTCACAGCTGCAGTGTTCTATATCATTATATCATTGCAGTGAACATCGCAGGGCCATTCGCTGCATCAATGGCGCTTTGGGCCTTTACCGTCCTGTGGTGTGGAACCCCGTTGCTTTCTGCGATCAAGGAAGGACCTGCCAACACGCCCGCAATGCGGTGATGGATCAACAAAGGCATCGCACAGTGAGCCATGCGACTGCTTTTCCCATAGTATGGACAGTGTAGCGCCTATGCCCTACGCTGATTCATGGGAATGGATTGCAGGATGCAGCAAATCATGAAAGACTTAGTAAGGTTTCATGCACCACGTACAGTTGCGCAGTTGGTTCTTTGCGAGAAGTCCTGCAATGCATTTCAAGGAACTATTTGTACAGAGCCAACAGCGCGTAGCTTCCATCCAAAGCTGTTCGGAAGTTCTTAGTCCAGGCCTCGCTTGCGCAGTCTTCTCTGAAATTCTTGGGAGAAAACTTATCAATTTCTCAACTTGTGCAACACTATACGCATGTAAACACGCACACACACTTGCGCACGTAATATACTTCTATCTAAGAACGCATAAACACAATTATATGCAGCTATAATCCCGTTCCCCCATGCTCCCTCCCCTCAAGAACTGTAAAATATTGTAGAATGATAGCCGACATCAACAGTGTTGTCTTCGTTTTGGCTTTGACTTGATCGTTTATGTTTTTTTTTGGGGGGGGGGGTGGCCAACGCAACTCCGAATGAGCTAGTCTTCAACGCTTGCGAAAGTGTCATCAACAACTGTGGAAGTGTCACACGACAGTTTGGTTGGTGTGCTCAATCCCTTGTAGTCACATGAATTGGTCCGTGTCTTGTAAGCTTACCCTTGATATTCAATTTCGTTTGCCTTAGGATTTCTTCTTCCGGGCCGTGAAGCATTTGCAGCGCAGCCTGGCGGCGTTAAATGATGAGAACTCTCTCCAACTAAGGAGGAGGGGGAGCGACAGAGAGAGAGGGGGGGTGCTGCCGAGCCGCTGTGGTGCGTAACAGTTTGTAGGTATTGCAGTTTAGTTTGGCGTTTGTGATAGCTGCAAGAGAACAAGTATATGTTTACTTGGCTTCTTGCTTTGGCCGAGGCTAAGAATCTTGCTTTTGAGCCTCCGATTGTTTTTGGCCCAACTTTTTTCTGCAACACTAATCGCCTTTCAAACAACCTTTTGGCCAATTGTCCAAGTTTGGGTGCCAGAACCCCTCCAATTAGTTCAGCATAGTTTGGCTCACCTTCTGCAGCCAAATTGTCAAAATCCTGCGATATTGTGAATTGCAACCGCTCCCCAATCCCTAACTCCCAAAAAACCTATTTTGCAATGCTGGCTCATTGTTGGCTCACCCATTCGTTAAATTCTCCCCTCTCCACCACCTCTAGTGCATCCCAGTGCTCAAATCATCGAGACTCCCAAAGCCAAACAAGAAAATCCTTCATGTTCCTTCATAAATGTGTTAACATTGTGAGGTCAAAGCTCCCAAAAAGCCAGTAAAATGGCAACGTTCTGATAGGCTTTGCTTTTTTTCTCCCTTGCACCACGGCCTACTTGCCTGCTACATCCTGCTACTTGCCAACAAATGGATTTGGATGATGGATTTGATGCTTGCTACTTGCAGGGTGCCAAATGCTACAGGTGACTCCAAGGACTTGCAGAGCACCGAAGCCTCCGTTTCTGAGCGGCCCGTGCTGGGCCTCACCACTGGCGAAGCACGTCTGGCGGCCTCAGAGAGCTCTGGGGAAATCAAGCAGTTAGACTTCAAAGGAACTGCGGACTGTGGGCAATGTTAGATGTTTTGACAGAACGTGAAACAACAAGATCAGGGTTTGATGAGTTATGGATAGCTAGTCGTCAAGTTTGTTTGTTTTTTCCAGTTGATGATACTCGATGAGTCGAAAAAACGATAAAGGCCAAGACCAAATTGTGAGCATTCTCCTATATATTGACCATGTTTGCACAGATTGGGTTCACTTTGCTCATTCTTTTTTACGGTCAGGTGCTTCGGCAAGCATGGTCGTACATAGTCCTACTAGTGTCGTTTTCGGTGATCTGACTGATAGGATCCTTCTCAGCCCAAAAGGTGGGACACACTGTGAGGGGGTCCCTCCAACATCTCCCGCAGGGGGCCCTTCCGAGGCTTCTGCATCGAGCGGGGCCAATTGGTGGATGTCCCGGATTTGGCATCTCGGCCGCTCCGTGGGTGAGACCAGCACAGCGGAGGTGAAGTCTTTCCAGAGGCTTTCACTGGGGCCCTGACTCCTGACCCCAGGAAAACCAAAAGTAGTGAACGAACGGCCTTTAAGGGAAGCCTTTAGAGAAGGAGAGATCTGAGATATCGTTCTGAGGTGTTCAGCAGGTTTGCTTCAAGACAGCAAATGATTGCAATGCGTCGAACACCGACTAAGCAAGCAAGCAAGTAATTAGAGGCTTTGAATGGAATGGAGTTGAAAAAGCCACGAGTTTTCCCACAAAAGGGCCCCCCACCGAGAGACTGAGACAGCCTTGTTGGTGCACGAACTCAGGGAAGACTGGAGAAACCAGAGAAGGCATGGGGTTGACTCGTTACACGAACACCGACAGGTAAGCGCATCGCAAGGATGTCTACCTACCACGAACACAGCAATGGCATCGTGAGCTCGCTTGAGTGTTTACTCATTGTTCGGATCTCACCAGCCCCATTTGATCCTAATTGTGTTCTGCCCAGCGAGGTATTTCTCAACTCAGGACAAGAAATGACAAGAAACATAACTAACGTGCAAAAGGGCTTGCTGTGTTTTGCACTTCTGTTAGGTTTTTGGACTTGATGGTTGAAACAAACCACGCAAATTTGGTTTGTCAAAACGAGCACTTGCCACTCCACATTTTTTGGAATTCCGGGGTGCCCCCAGGTATATGAACAGAAGAAAGAAAGCTCATAACATATACTGCACCCAAACTTGTGGTACCATTTGACTGAAGGTCCAGATTCCAATTGGTTGTAGGGGTGCGTGGCACACACAGTTGTGCAGCAAGGTGGAGGCTAGATACTGTCATGTTTTTGCAGCATATGCAGGGTTGTACGCAATCTTTTGTAGGTGGATGAATACTGACAAGGGCTGGGCAAGACATGTCAAGACAATACATATTGTATGGCTAAGTTTATTCATTTGCCCCTCTACCAATCCATTTACTTGCATGTCAATGTGCATGTTACTGTATGTTCCAACTGCTTCATGACAGATATCGCAGTTGAAATAATTTTGCTCAGTTGACCTTGACTGGGGGTTCTACTCGAAGGTCAAGAAGGAGGAAGGAACCGGCAGACATGAAAGCAAAAACCAGGAGGACCGAAGTTGACAGTTGACAAAGCATATCAGGTCATGTGACTCATGTGATTGTGTTTGCGTTTGGTGGTGACATGTGGACGCTGTGCTCTGATTTGTGCAGGAATTAGTGGCCAAAGACAAGACTGAGCAGCCGCTTTGCTACCCAAAACATGTACAAAGAACATCCTTTTTGAAGTCGCAAATTGAATTTACTTGCAGATTCCCACGAGAAGGCAATTGACCTCAAAGTCGAAATGTCATACTGACTGATGTTTTTGTTTGGAACTTGGTTACAATCGAGCCTGGAGGTTGCTTTCTGAGCTGTTTGATGCGAAATTTGCATTGGTGCTAGCTTTGTGCTTTTTGCGTTCCCTTCAGGCTACCTTTCGGACAGCATCCAAAAACGACCTTGATGTGTTTTGCAGCTGGGGACGGTGTTCCGAGTGATCCCCCCCCGACAAACCCAATCGATCGGATCGCGCCCGCGGATCGCCACCAATCCAAGCGGATCCGACCGGATCGATCCTTCCCCGACTCGGGACACCGAGAACGGAGCTCTCGGCGGCCATGGAAGATCGCACCTTTGGGATTTTGACGATGCTGAGCCTCCTGGGCTCACAGAACTTCCAGGTGCCGTGATGGAATGCAGGAATCGATGGTTGGGAGGAGTCGAATCGGTGTGTCTTTTTCGGTGCGCCACCTCAGGGTCCACCTGAAAAGTCGGGCAATGAGAGGTTTCAGTTTTTGAGAATGCTGTTCCGTCCAAAGCGTGGTAAAATCAAGACCCAATGGAAGGTTATCGTTCGGACTGTTGTGTTTGCGACTTTAATGTAAGCAGGCTGTCGGAACCCAATGACATTGCATGACAATTGTAAAGGGTAATGGACGGCATCAACCTTGCTGAATCACCCCCTCCAAGGTGGCGACCAAGGCAGCTCAAGTACTGCGAACCATCACTGCCACGGAAGCTTGGCATAGCACTGACTGTGCATGTTGTGCCTGCATCCAGGACCTGCCTCAGGTCCTTTTCAAGACCAAAAGCTGGGACAGAGAGTCAACACTATAGGCTATAGGCTCTACATTATATGCTATACAGTATAGGCTCAATTCAATATACTGTATGAATTCAATGCCTTATAGTAATAGGTTATTCAATTTGGGCTGTGCAGTATAGGTCCGCCCTGTGATCCTTTCTCGACGATATTAGATGGAGGGGGGGGGACACTCTACTGTAGCTAACAGCTAAGAATAATTGCCGCTCCCAAAGATCCCAAAGACACCAGTGGCAGCATGCAGGCATGCCAAACAGATACAGTTTGGCACACTTAAAACCACTGACCAATGATGAACTGCCGCAGATTCTTTTGCATGCGACGTCGTGAGGAGCGTGGGGCCGCGGCAGTGGCGCTCTTCGGCGGGGTGGAGGTCCTGTTGAAGCTGGTGGCCGTGGCCATCGAGGGCTCGCAGGATTGGAGAGACTGGCAGGGGCCGGGACTGGCGGGACTGGGAGGGTCATGAGGACTGGACCAAGCCTTGAAACGGGATGTTTGTTGAGGTCGTGGAACACCACCGTCACAAAGAGGGACCTTGCAGCTTGATTTTGTGGTTGTAAACTTAAACCTACGGCAACCCCATGTCCTGATCACCAAGGAAGGGGTTTCCAGCTGCGAGTGAGAGTGATGGCTCAGTAGTCAGCGGGTACAGCTGGCTGTCATCCTGCTGGAGTGTCCACCTTCATGGACACTGACATGATACCAAACTGGGGTTTGGAGGCGAACCCATCGCACGACGACTGAACTGTCGTTCACTTCTGTCGCCCCGCAGGTCCGGACACGCGAGCTCGCGAGCCGCGGCCAGGAAAAGAAGCAGGCGTCCACCAAGCGCAACATCTTTGGTCGCAAAGCCAAGGCCTCCGGGGCTGGAAGAGTTTGGGAATTGTTGGGGTCTGTGATGGTCAGTGGGTCGTTGGATTCCATGATGCAATGCATATATACTGTATATATAATAGAGTCCCCTTACTAACTAGTTGTTGGTCTCTGGATGGAAGATTTTGGTACCGTTTCGGCTGTTGCTGCCAGAGCGCTCACCCAATGCTGCTGCGCTGACCTGTGAGGATACGCCGGCATCCCCAACATCCGCTTCCCCGAAGAGTGGACGTGCAAGGGATGAGGCTGGGAGTGGCAATGGTTGGAAATGCTGGGCATTTTCGGGTAGATCAAAATGTTTGTCCGACTGTTTGTCCTTCAACGCCTTGCAAACCTGAATGCATACCTGCAGTCTGCAGTGCACGCAGTGTTTGAGAGGATCCCCTCTTGGTGGTCAAAGAACGAGCCCGTTAGTGCAAAAGCCCACATCGCCCTGAGGTCGAGCAAGCCAAGAGTGCGCGGTGGGGCAAGGACCGATGCTTTACGGCTGGGACATGTCCCTTGACCAGCTGCTTGAGCATCGAATTATATATACATACAAGTAACCGGGATGTTCTTCAAGAAGCTGACTCTACTGAACCGCTGAAGCTTTTTTCCGCTGTTCTTATGAACTTTCCGGGCGTAGCACTTTTGCATGTGTTGCTTTGTCTGTGGCTGAGCTTTAAACGTTTTTGTTGGCTACCCTCAGCCTCTACTGTAATGATCATCCAGCCACGCGTTTCCACCTGGACAAACATATCACGGACATGTGAAAAGGGTGTTGTTGTTTTTGCCTCCGGGTCGGAAACCGAACGTGTAGCCGTGCTAATTTTCACAATCGATGCATATTGCACTTGTGCGACCCGGTGCCCATGCATGTCAATTTTATGTAGACGTTGATGACGATGATGGTGATGGTGATGATGATGATGATGAATTGTTCATGAGTTGTTAATTGTGACAACAGATGCTACGGGTCTGGGGGGTGGTTTCGTTCGTGTGATCAGTAGAACACGATGGAGATGAGTTGTTCGTGTGAAGACAGATGATTTCTGTTTCCGACCCGGAGGGTTTAGAGTTTTTGTACACTTTTGCAATCCCTTCACCTATTATTATATATAACACACAGGGGGGGGCCTACCATTCGAGAGATGGACTGTGAAGAACGACGCGACAAAGCCCTGCCCCCCGTCCCCCCCCTTGGAGTCGTTGTTTCAAGCAGGGGGTCCCCAGGCACCAGCTTCAAATCCGAAAACTCGAGGAGTTTTGTAAAATCTGGTAGACTCCTATCACACAGTCAACAATCCTGGCAAGAGCCCCAAACAGTGTTGAGTAAAAGGGGACAAGGGTGAATAAGCCAACTTCCGCACTCTAGAGCGTACACAGCCCATAAATGAGAGCACACACACATAAGGGAACGCTGTGAGAGCACACATTTGAAAGCACACATGACAGAGCACACCCATGTGAGCAAGCACATGAGAGCACACGCATGAGAGCACGCTTGTGTGGGCATATGCTCAGTACTTGAGAGTGAACACACAAATGAGAGCACGCGCATGAGACCACACGCGTGACGAAGGTCTTGCTTTTCCCTCTACACAGCCCCTTACTATATAATATTAGTGATTCTTAAATGTTTGTCCCTTATAAAAATTTATAAAATGTCCATCAGGCTAACAAGTAGAGGTATTTGGAGAGGTGGTGTTGCTGTGCCATGCGGCTTGGCGACACCTCGGCGAAAGTGCGTTTGTTGTGTGGATCCATGCCATAGGGGGAGAGGTCGCATGCGCGTGTAAACTAAATCCGGCGTGTCGCTGGTGAGGGGCACGATTGGTGGTGATTCTCGTCATTTGTGCCTAATAAAAAGAACGTGCACCAAAATGACATTGGGTGCATTTTAGCAGTAGAAAGTACATGGTGTAAATGCGATTAATTTGTATTAAAAACACAACTCCAAAAGCAACGGGAACCTGTATGTAAGGGTGTCCGACACGAGTTCTTTCACTGGGCAGTGTCTTTAGTAGGTACTCAGGAGTCTTACTGCCGCCGCCACTAGAATATTTATAATGTCGCAAATTCCCTTCACATTGTTAGACATAGGAGTTTGTAAGATCACTGCAAGACCGACCCTATTGTCAGTGCATCCCGTTGACCGTTAGAACTTAGGGTGAGGCTTCCGTTGGCCCCACAGGATTCAGGATTCAACAAGAGGGAAGACACCAGAAACCATGCAATCAATGAAGCCTACCATTCAGTACCAGTGGGTGTGGGGCTGGGCGGGTTGATGTTGACCCCGCGGGCCAGGAAACTTCGCCCGAGTCTGCGCGTGGTCCAAGTAGCCCTCGAAACCGTGGAGCTGTTGGTGCTCTGGACCGCCCTTTCGGCCGGGTGAGCTGTGAGATTGGCGAATGTAGCCCACACATGCCCACAGCCATTGCACTTGAGAGGGAGGAGGGGAAACATGGGTAATCCACACATTGAGCGCAACCTCCAAAGGGAGAGTTGTTCAATGCTTCTTGCACTTCGGGAACTTGAACGGACTTGTTCTTAAGGCAATCACTCTTAGTTCTGTGTCTTCACCTCCATGCAAGTTGCCAGGACAGCCCGCCGGAATCTCCCAGGGACTCTCCCAAGAGTGCTCGCTGGCGAAGGGGCACTTCTGCGCAGGACTGCAGTTTGTGCCAGGTGATGGAAAAACTCACTGCAATCTAATCTAACCATCTAACAAGTTCATGTCTCTCAGACATTCAATTGCTTGTTTGGAGTTAGGGTTTTGGTTAGCGTGCAATAGCAAACTCTGCTGCCTTGATGCGTTGCGGGCCTTGCCAGGACAGCCCTCCAGAGTCTCCGGGCCGGGACTCCCCAAGGAGCGCTCGCTGGCAAGAGGACCTCTCCGGGGCCTTGGGGTGGACAGAGCTGCTATCCAACCACTTCGTGGATGCGCGTCCAACCTGCTGTTTGAGTGTGAAGTGCAGCAACTACATTGGGAGCCATGTCTATTCAATCCTAGGCCCTCGCCTCGCCATGATTTGCAAACCAGTCCTGCCTCAGCAGACGCAAGGACAGCCCATCTCAGTCTCCGGATTCTCCGAAAAGTGCCCGCTGGCGGGGCGTTTCGCCACGGGACTGCTGGGAGTGCGGGAAGGGCTCTACTTTTCGGTCGAGGACATCTTGGAACATCCAACCACATGCAGGTTTCTTTTTGATTTCAGTGGTGTGATCGCATGACAGTGATGCTTTTGAGACCGAAGGTAGTTGACGGTTAGCATTCGCCGGGAGATACGAACAATATGGCAGGAGTTAGCCTCCTTCGATCAAAGCTCAAGTAAAGTTGTTTTGGTGCGAAAAATAACACGGGCTTCGCCCAGCCTGTAAAGGGGAATTTGATGCCCAAATGCTCCCAACGCTGCGAAATCGATACCGCCCATGGCAACTGGACATGTGGTTCAATCTTCTCCGGCAGGAGGCCCCAACCATTTCCACCCAGTTTTCTGCTGGTCACCCTGAGACCTGGTGATTTCTTGGCAATTGGGTTGAGCTGGGCTGAAGGAACTGTGTGGCCACTCCGGACTCCGTACCTCTCCCACTGGCCTAGTAAAGGAACGACGTCAATCTCACAGAAAAAAAACCTGACAGATCACAGCTAGAGGATGCTAGAGGTAACCGACATGCACGGCGCGGTTGCTGAGTTGAGTAGAAGAACTGTAGATTCTTCAGAGCCCTTCTCTAGGTCGGAGGCCATGGCTATTAGGTTGGAGGCCATGGCTTCTAGGTACGGGGGGGCAAGAGCGGCCTTTAACAACAATTCAGTCTTTAATTTGGAATGGAAGACAGGAACTGTGCCAACCCTTGGCACCAGGTGTTTCTGGTTTCCGCTCGCAGTCGGTGCTTGCAGGACGACGCATCCCCACGAGACGCGTCTCCACGCAGCCCAAGGGCACGGGCAGTCCGAGCCCGAAAGACAAACGGGAGAGGGGGAGAGTAGGACCAACTTCGTGAAGCTGGGTGAAACTTCAGGTAGAGTGCATGAGGGATATGACATGGAGGAATTATGTGATCCCGTCAGCTGTTCGGTGGTTCATGGAGGATGGATGGGAACCTCACTGAATCTACCCGAAAAGAAAAACAACTGTGTTTGGTTAGGATTTTTTCCCGAGTGATCTAGAGATTCATTCCCAAAGTCAAGTTCATCTCATAATCTGTCATTACAGAGTGTTGCAGAGTATTTGGATAGCTGAACAACAGAGTCAGAGTGTTGGTTGGATAACCGAGTGTTACAGAGACTATTCATACAGACGTGTCGTTTGGATCGCTGGAACGCCCAGCTCCGCTTTTTCCGGCCCAGGAGGGTCCCATGAGCGCTCGAGGAGGCCGCGGTGGCCAGGCCGGAGCAGAGTGGGGATGAGCTCCAAAGTATCCAAATGCGTGACTGCCGAGCTGTTTTTACTGAAACAGGGTGTGCAACACCATCGAGACCCTGGCATGATGTTGGAGATGTGTTTGGACATAATCAATTCATTAAATCCAGGCTTGCAAAGTTTCACATGTGTTCCACATGTTGCATCTTGTCAGGACCTCCCGAGTTCAACCCACTTGTCATTTGTCAGGAGAGTCCGCGGGAAGAGACGGATGCCAAGCCCAACAAGCTGGCAAAGCGTGGGCCTCGAGCTAGAGTTGCAGGCTACGGCGAACATAAGTCCATGTATATAAATCCTGAAGGAACCACCAGGAAACCATTGTTCAAAATGAGTCAATGAGTTTCGTGTATTCCTGGAACACAGCGCTAGGCGCTATACATTGACATGTGATATAATTATATGGATCTAACTCTTGTCATGGCTGCGAAAGCATTTCCTCACGTTCTTAATTTGCGCAAAGGCTTGAACATTTGGCGTAGAATCTACGGTGTTTTGTCGCAAAGGCATTTTGCGAACGCCGTGTTGGTCATGAATGTGTTACTGCCACTGTGTAGAATGTAGCTAACACAACCTCGCGAAGTCTTTTGCGAAAGCATCTACATCAACATCCAACATCATACAGCACCCTCGTGTTGGCAATGGGGAGAGAGATGGGCGAAAGCTTCGCAGAGGTAATTATGGGTATCCAGAGGCTGTCCCCCAGACCACGCACAAAAAAGAAAAAACCTGCTCGAATGTGTGTGTGTGTGTGTGTGTGTCCACCCCTGGACGAAGGGTTTTCCACCACCACTTTTCGCAAGCAGGGGGGATCAGGCTTCCAGTGACTAACCTGATCCAACGAAGCTGGGTCACTGGAAGGGAAGTGGTTGAGGACGCTCAACCATGTACCTGCAGAGTGCTTCACAAGCTGTTACCCTCCTGATCCGCTTTTTGATTCATGGTGGTTTCACATGATACCTTCCCGTAAACCTTTCTTCTTCCCCAACAGCTGCGCCGCCATCTTGATCGTCTTGCAACCGTTTTGAGTGAACAATGTTCAACAATACTTCTCAGCGGACTCTTTCGCCTTACCGTTCCATCACCTTCCTTCCCATCGTGAACTTGCATTAACGGAATACAAGTGTCAGAGTGTGTGTGTTTTTAAATCAATTATTGATCAAGTTTTGAGCCGTGTCGCTCCACCCACCACATCAACTTTTCGAGTGCTTGTTGTGGGCTTTGCAACCCCCAGAACAAGGCCTTTCTTGTCTTTGCGAAGGTTGAGCCTTCTCTTCGGTGGTTCGAGTGTTGTTGAGTGTTGTTGAGTGTCTGCCTTGAGCGAGCTGAGGAGGCGACTGCCTTGCTTGGGTCGTTGCAGCTTGGTCAGCACACGTGACGACCCTACCGGTCTTCTGACGGTCTCTACTGGGCATTCTTGGGCGTCCGACTTCTCGTGATGGTTGGTTGTTCTGCTTTCCGTGTTATGTTTGATCTATTGGCTATATAGGGTCTCTTAACTGCCCCAGGTGCTTGACCGCTGTAACCAGCGGAAAGGTGATGTCAAAAGCTCCACAGTGAGGCCGAAGAAGGCGGCACGAGGAGGACGTTGCAGATGAGGATGACGATGAAGAAGATGAAGAAGATGGTGCTGGGGGAGGTGCAAACGGAGCATAGCTATGTGGCTTTGCGTAGAGAGTCGATAATGAACCTCGCCCGCAGGATCACAAGGGGCCAATTGACACTCGCAAAAGGAACTCAGGTGCATGAGAGGTCCAGGCCAAGGTTGAAGTGTAGCTATTCTGCTTATATAACTTGTTGCTCAGGCAGTGAGCGAGTAACAGTATGTAATGTGACATTTCCGTTTGTGGACTTTGCCGCTCTTGGTTGTTGAGGGCGCCTTAAGGAATTTTGTTTCTTCATGTTTCTTTCTGGATTTGTTTGGTTGCATTCCAGGATGTTTCATGGGGCCACCTGAGGCGGCCACCTTCGTTGAATTGCTTTCTCCACCGAACCTTTCACCAGCTCACCTGGCCAGGCCACCATGGTCATGGGAAGTCAGGTCGGCGGTGTCCGGCGATAGGGGCGAGGAACACAAGAGCCAACCGTCCAAAGACCCAACCACCACAGCGGATGCCCAAACAGCCAATAGCTCCTAGTAGCGATGCCAGGAGCCCCTAGGAGCGTATTTGCTCCTAATAGTAAGGCCAGGAGCCCCTAGTAGCTACATAATTAGTATATTTGTCTACAGAACTGCCACTGGCACAGAGGGCAATGTGTGCCGACATGGGACTTGCCTCATACGTCAGCAACTTGGGTATGCTTTGGTTACTGTACGTGTTGCGCAGGCATTAATAAGATGTAGGACCTAAGATCATGAGCTATTCATCTCTTGGGCTGAGCCCCCCAACTCACAACGCTGCGGTATTGCGGCCTGTTTTGCCAGAAAACTGTGATTAATGAGGCTTTTGAAGGACGCATTTCTTCCTGGTGGCAGCAATTGAGATACTGTACTGCAAGGATCCTTCTACCCCAAGCAGTATAGAATTCTTATGAGGCCAAGAAGTCCTTTTCTTCCCAAGCACCCGTTCGCAGGTGATTCCAGCAATCTCTTCTTCCGCTGCGCCGATCATGGCTTGGATCTTTGGCAAGATAGTGGCAGGGGCGAGAAGCCTGGAATGAAGGGGATGTCGATCCCCCCAACTGGCTCTAGCGGAAGACCCACCGGCGCATAATGCACGACAACCAGACAAAGACATCTTAAGTTATAGTAAAATATCGTAAATCTAATTGTTGCAGTGTTTTAGCAAGACGCCTTGAAACCTGAAAACCCCGTCCCACTGGCAGTTACAGGAACCGCACGAACACCGGAGCATCGCGGAGCGTCGGTCCAGACCAGGCAGCCCTTCGAAACTTGGCAGCCTTTTCGCGGGAGCGGAAGGAGCAGATCTTGGAGAAAGAGGGCGAAAAGGTGGACCGACGATCTGCGATCGGGAAATGGCGATTTCCATGGAGATGGTGGAACATGGCGATGGTCCAATGACAGAATATTGTTTGCTTGGATTTGTGAACCTGTCAAGATTGTGAAGGAATAAAGGTATGGATAGTGATATGGATATTTGGATCGAACATGAGTTTAATACGTTCGGGTGGGACCCACCTTACTGGTGCTTCAATGGACTAATTGGCACCATGCACCACACTACTGTATATACACTTCAATAGTGGAAACCAGCCTCCGTTTGATTTCGGTGGCGCAGCAGGTGACCATGGAGGCCTTGCGCGTCTGCCGCGGCCTGACCGAAGCCCAGCAGCCTGCGCGCTCGGCTTCGGCGCTGCTGCGAAACCTGTCCGGAGGCGGTCGCGGGCACCCGACACGTCACACGACGGGGGAGTGCTTCAGCCGATGGGGGAGTGCTCACAGGGCCTATTTATATATATAGATATATAATATTATATATAATATATATATGTATATTACACACATATATATATATATATATTAGTCATGAATTCAATTGCTGACGTGCTTGGGTTCGTGGCATAGTCCCGAAAGCAACTGAACTCAGAAATTACGTTGACTTGTTTCACGTGGTTCTTGGTTGCATGGTTTCACGGCATTAACATCAGCAATTAAACAATAGTCACAATTGTAGTCATACGGAACCGACCTGGGCTCAGACCTGGGTGTTTGGGAGTTGTGTCAAGCAGGGCTCGGGTCGCACCTGCCCCTGAACTGATTGGTGTGGCTACGAAGTGAGGCAAGGAAGATGAGGCAAAGAAGAGGACCAGGCTTCACAAACCCAGAGCCACCCCGGCACTTCATAGACCTGCTAGTTTGGAAGGCATCCTACTTAGGGGTGATATACAGATGATGGATGTGATATAAGCTGCAAAGCTTGTGTCCTGCATTTGATTGATCCGCAAGCACAGCCCAAGTCCTAGAGTGGCCCGCAGCCAGATAGCTAGACGGCTGCATATATGGCATAGGCGGCCAGAGACCACTTTGTTGGCATGTGCGACTAATGCAAGATCGATTGGTTTGACAGTGCATTATGAGAACTAAAGACTTGCCACATACCCCAAACCTAATTACAGGAAAATGGTCACAACTACCGGTCAATTCTCAGGTTCCATGTTAGTTTGCGGGGGGGGTATCCAATGGTTCTTTCATACCAGCACTTCTTGCCCAGGCCTGCGAGGTCACTTGCAAGCACAACGGGGAAGACTGAGCGCTGATTCACTCAAATTCATATGTATTTGCCCTGTTATGACTGTTATGTCCTGAGCTGGTCAGGAAAGGTCAGAACTGAAGGAGGCAAAGAAGATCAAAGAAGGATCAAGGCAACCCAGGATGAGCTAGAACTAGCAGGTCCGACTTCTACAGCGTTTTTTGCGACTTCTGCAGTGTGACCTGGGGTTCGTGTCCTCACCAAGGAGCATATGCTTTGAGAGGTGCAGGCTTCCTGCAGATTGCAGAGGCTGGGGAGGGTAGCCTCCCATTCGGCCTCTCCTTTCGAACATGGAGGTTGATTCAATGAATGACAAACATGGTGGGCCACGTTCCACATACGCAGCATGTTGCTTGTTAAAGCTAAAGCGTTTGGCTTGATAGATGCACCTTCCTTCAAACAACATTCACACCCATGTGTGGAGAAAGATCTCGTTTTTAATAAAGACCTCCAACGATGGGAATTCTTCTCTCAGCCCATTGGTTGTGAGTCAACTTCGAGTCAACTTCCAGTCCTTCACACTACAAGCTGTAGGCGTTGAGAACCGTTTGGCTGGAGGGCGTTCCAAGCTTCCGCCGGGAAGGAACACAAGGTTTTACTGCCACATGTTCCACTAAAACATATATATATATTTGTATGTAGGTGTATGTGAGTATACATGCACACGCCTATTTAGATACATGCTTGCAATGATGCCACAATTTGCCACGACAACATAATGCAAGTGGCTTGATTTCCAACCTCTTTGGACTAGGCCACGAATCCAGCCACTGGCGACAAATCCCAGATTGTTTAGTAATGTGTGGGTTTGTGCAGGAAGAATTGGAAGACCATCGAGGTGGTCCTGGAGTGCGACTTCACATCTTAGCGATGTCCTTAGTCTGAACCTGTCCTTCTCTTTGCTGGACAGAAGGCCACCCAGCAAGTGCCTGCTAAAATCAAAGATGCTTGGAGGAAGTGTTTATATACGTTCACTCTTTGCACTCTTTGTGCAACGTTTCGGGAGAGGGGAGGCAGAGTGCGTTTCATGTGTCCTGGTAACTATTTGCGAGGCAGCGTTGCAAAATATGGCCAGCTGTGCAGATGCGAGCTTCATGGCAGAAATTTGTGTCACAGAGTCCAACTTCAAAACATCGTAGTGACCCATGTTTGTTGCTGACCCATGCTGAGCTTGAGCTCACGTCTTCCATCCTTTTGGGGGGGCAAGGGGGTGCAGCAAGTTCTTGAATGCAAACTTTCGTTGGGCCATTCATTTGTCAGGTGACAACATTTTCCCCCAGCCACAGAACTGGCTGGAGCTTTGCGCACTGGCTGCCCGGACAGCTGTGGAGGACCAGCTGTTCCTTCGACCCGCAGGTCTCGGCTGTTTGGGAGGTCGGACAGGCACGTTCCAATTGAGACAGTGAGCGACCGGAGGTGAAGCTATGTCCATTTGGGATGGAAAGTGCCCAGTGATATGGTAAGGAATTGAAGAAGGAAAGATGCCGAGAGGCATGCGTAGACCCATGCGGTTTTCCCACTTTACCTCTTAGGGTTAACTTTTTGGATATCCACCCGGAAGTACAGACGTTTTCGAAGTTCAGGAGGGCCATTTCCGCACCACGAAGCAGGCACTGGGAGTTCCTGGGTCAGCAATGCTGTTTCGAGCGAAGTTGGAGGGCGAGACCACGTTGGGGTCACGATCATGTTACTGGGGTTCAATAAGCAAGAGCGGTGGCCGTGATGATATGGGTTGTGGAGACAGCCTGATGACCATTTGATTTTGTGAGAAAGGCCCCTCCCTTGTTGCAGAGTGTTTGAGGCTTTGTGTGGAACGGTGCTGGCGTTTATGCCTTTGTCATCCTTTGTCCTGTCGACAATCTTGGTTCACACCCATCATTAGGAATGCATTCGTGAGGGGGTCGGGCTCGTAAGGGGATACCGGGATACCGGCCCTGCGCTTTTCCAGAGCTTATATCTACAGGCTTTGCAGGGGTTGAACACCTTGGAATAAGGCAAGTGACGGCCAGTAAAAGGAACTGATGAGCAAGTTTTGGCTGTGGATCCCCTACATGGAAGGACACATGCACACGGACGGATATATATATATATATGTGTGTGTGTGTGTGTGCGTGTATATACATGAAAACACCGCATGGAGGTCGTGCGCTTTGGAGACTCAGGCCATGGCCAACTTCGCAATTCTCCGCACGGCACAGGAGATGAGCCATTTGCCTTTGGGGAGGGTGTCCAATGGAGATTTCAAGCATGTTTGAAATCTGATGTTATGATGTATAAACGCCACAAATCAGTAATTCTATGTAATTCTGAGTTGCGGCGAACATACAGGTTGTATTACAGTAGCTTGTTGAAGGGCCTCTCCAGCTTCACAGTTCCTTGCTGCAAGGAAGCTTTGCAGGGGCACTACTGTTCAGGCCAACTTGCTGGGCTGATCCAGGAACCTGCAGGGTGGCTAGACATGTTTTAGGCATGTGTACATGATCATCATGATCATTGTAGAAATGTTATATGCACGCCTCATGTTTTGATGAAGGCATGTGGAATAGCAGTTGACAACAAACATCAGCGCCATGCCCCCACGCCTGCAGTTTGTCAGTTCTGGTGACTGCTGCCTGTTGGGGCCCTGAACGCTGGCTTAGCTAGTTGGTGTTCCCTTTGCTTCCAGGGACAGGCGGGAGGAAGCTGAACATCAACACATCAACTCGTCGTCGCACGTGTCATTTTGATAGGTTTTGTTCACCTCACGTTTTGCAACTCAACCTGCTACACTCTTACGGCGGTGAACCAATGGCTCTTGCATAGAGGAAAATGTCTCATGTTGAGTCCAAGGCTGCATTGTCCTTGTGGACGGTCAAGGGTGTCATGGCCAGTGTGCCGGTATACCTCATCGCTTTTTTCTGCTCAGCTCGAGTGTCAAGTCACCTAGAGGAGCCTTTCAATTCCGCACATCTCCCACTTCTCCCAACAGCTCACCCACAGAAATGAAGACGCTTTCATTCACCCGGCCATCGTTTGAGTCTCGGTCTCGACCTTATGGAAACACCGAACTCCCGTGTCCGGGACGGTCCGCGGACGGGTTCACCTCTCGCGCGGCAAACACGCGGAACCTTCACCTCTCGCCGAGCGCCAGACCATGGTCTTCCCTTTGCTCCGTTCGGGCATATGCTCGCAGCTCATCCTGTCGAAGAAAGCTCGGAGGAAGAGGCACCAGCGAAAGGAGCGGTGCCCGAACGTTTTGGAACACAAGATCAAGGCAAGCCAGAAGGGCATAGGCTATAGGAAGGCTGCTGTGAAACGGCAACTGTTTAGCTGGATGTGCTCAACAATGTAAAATCATGTAAATTCTGTACAAGCTAGTATATAGACATAATTAGCAAATCAAAAAAACATGTTTTTCTAACATATGATGTTAGGGTCTCTCAAGCCTCTGTGGTTGGCGCCACGAAGCAGAGAATATCTCAGTTGAGTCGTTTGGGTGTGGACCAGTCTTTCCTCCGAACCAACGAGAACCCATGTGATCTTGGCGGTGTCAAGGTGAAACGACGTGCGTCACTGCGTGTAGGATGTTGCCGGACCGGTCACGTGCATTTTCCTGGAAACCACAAGCCAAGACATGCAGTAGAAGGTTGTGTTGTGTATTTTGCACGTGTACAGTGTATGACAGGTCGTGAGATTTGGTTCCTCCGGGCGTTTGCCGGACCGGGCAGTTGTTCACCCATGTTCACCCTTCGGTCGGTTGCTAGGCATGTAGTCGATTCGACTCCGCAAGCACCTCGTTCCCATTCATGAAGTATACCTTTAAGCCACGTTTCTCCGAGAATCCATGAGAATCCTGTCGGGTGTTTTTTTTCCGGATAGTTCCAAAAAGGGCTATCGCCGTGCCATATGCAAACTCTGTTCGATAATGGGTCAAACGTCACGCAAGCTCATGATTTCTAGCACCATAGCCGCTATTAAACCCACGGGATGTGATTGGTCAAGGAGATTTTCCTGAAGAGACGGGCAGCGTCACCAGCGGCGCCAGGCCGAGCAGCTTGATGCAGCCGACATCAAAGCCAAAGTTGAGTCAACCACGCAGGACTTTCTTTGGAAACAGCCTGATCTCGATGTGTTCGGTTTTGTGCAAAGCTCGCCGGACGCTGATCCCCGAGAGGGGTCGGGGAGCTGGGGTCCGACGGTGTAGTTTAGGGAGGTCATGGTACCTGGTTAAACGATCCAGTTCAGTAATAGGATCGAAAGGGACCACGTTTGACTGTTGTCAATGTGGGCATTTCATTCCCTGACTTTTTGCCATGGAAACGCAACTAAAGCTGATAGTGACAGCTGAATTGATTGTGGATCCCCTAGAGACAAAGCAACAAGGAAGGCCTCGAATGGAAGCAAACCCGAAGGAAAGAGGACACAGCATTGCCAAATGAATACTAGGAGCAGGGACGCTACTAGGGGCTCCTGGCGTCGCTACTAGGAGCATTCCAGTCCTACTACTAGCAAGAAGCTACTAATAGCAAATTTGCATGTCCTGGAGCCAAATTCCGGTTCACGCTGGAGGCACGCTGGACTCACGGTTCTGGAGGGGCATTATAGAAGATCACGAGGGATCGGTTGACGCCGCTCACGGCCGTTTCACGAGCATGGCCCATGCCTAAACCCAAAGGGGTGAAGGGGAAGTAGAACCCGAGGCCAAATCCTGGACGCTTTCCCGCGAAAAGAATCTTGATGGTCAGCGGCGAATATTGAATTTATACATATTCGTCAATTTGTTCGATCATTTGTCGTTCAACTTGTGGTAATGTGACGGCTAACCACCATCGCTCGCCGCTCACCGCTCACCGCAGCCATCCGCAGCCGCCCCTCTCGGGAACACGCCGGCCCCGCTCGCGCTCACGTTCATCATTCTAGACCAGGGTTGGCGGATCATCACCAGCAGGGTGAGTTGTATTTACTGTAAGTTTGTCACAGGATGTTACAGTTTGTTGTTGTCAGTTTTTGAGTGCGTGGCTATTGGACTTTGAGCTTGAACGTTTGCAGGAGAGCAGTGGGACTTCTTCAGACAGTGACACTGCTCAGGACACGCTGTGCGCGCATCGAGCCGTTTCCAGTGTCATGAAATGGATTTGGACAAGTTGCAACGATATTGTCCCCAAAGGACTCAACGCATAGTGTGTTGTGCGCAGACCTTTTGAATGTATTTTAAGCATTGCAAACATAGAGTGCTTTGACCAAGGG